CTTGTTGATTTTAATTCAGCTCCCATCGACTGCGAAGCATTGAAAATTAAATTAGGAACAAATGTTGTCACACATGAGGAAGAACAAACACAGTTGCTTCTAGAACTTGATGAGGCTCTCTACCAATAACAGATTATTAAAATACTAATTCGACTGTTTTCGTTTGCATGGGCGGAGATGCAAAATCTTGTCATCAAACTATACAGTTCAATCAGACCAAATCACTGAAATTACATTAAACAATTTGAAAAGACGCAGATAGTGAAAAACAAGTAATAGGTAAATATTCTCAATCACTACCTTCAACAACAACCATATAGTAGTGGTGGGAGTATCACCATTTTATATATATATATATATATATATATATATATATATATATATATATATATATATATATATATATATACTCTACAAGGTGGTACAAGTTATTTATTGTACGAATACTTGGTTGCGAAGTAATGATTCTTTTTTATTTACTAAAAAAAATCAGATGTATATTTACTCACCTTGCTCCTTCACGCCCGTTATCTCCTGGGTGTCTGGGTGGTTTGGGAACGAGGGAAGATGGAAGGAACGGCGGTAATCGTGTAAACACACACACACACACACACATACACACACACACATATGTGTGTACGTGAGAGTGAGTGAGTGAGAGAGAGAGAGAGAGAGAGAGAGAGAGAGAGAGAGAGAGAGAGAGAGAGAGAGAGAGAGAGAGAGAGAGAGAGAGAGAGAGAGAGAGAGAACACGGTATATTTCTCGGCCACCTACTCACGCCTCGCCCTCAAGGCGCCTTAGATTTGCCTCAAGGGTGACCCAACTTTGGCTGGTCCTGACTTGCTGTTCTTCTCGTTTTCGCATGCGCTCTCCCTCGTGCATCTTCGTGATTACTCGTCCTTGTCGACCTCTTCTTCCTGGCCCTTGGTGTGATCCATCCGTCTTCGGCGTCCACACGTCCTCGAAGGTCTCGCACAGGTCCTCCTTGACTTCGGATTCGTCTAGACTTCCTCGTAGTCCTCGACCAGGCCTAACTCGGCGGCGTCCTCGTCCACATGTCCTCGCAGATCCCGTCCAGGTCCTTCTTGGCTACGTGCTCGACCAGACGTCCTCGTAATCTTCGTCTGGATCTACGGGCGTCCGGGCAGAAGGCGTCCTCTTCTTTACGCCTGCAACTACGACAGCAACAACTCTATCAATGAAAAGGTTTTGGTGTCTTTTGTTCTGCGTGGACGAGTGAGTGAGTGTGTGAGTATGTGCGCGTGTGAGCGACAGTGAGCATGAATGAGATTGAAAGTGAGAGTGACCTTACACAGAGCGGAAATGTAATACAAACACGAAGATTAACGTTCACTTTAAGAGCACTGTGATAAATTAACAATGAAATTAATACAAAATTAATTCAATTATACATTGAATTCAACATTCTAATACCAAATACCGTACTAAATGAAGAGACGAGCCGGGGAAATTTATAAATAACAAGCGACTTCTAGAGGGTGAGAAGGGCGTGATTAATAAGCGAACAGTGATTCTAGCTTAAACCCTAGACCTCCTTTATTTAACGGACGTAACTGCGGGTCACACCGACTCGAGAGTTACCGATCGAACGAATAGCTTCGGTTTTACCTGTACCTACTATCGTAACGTCGGAGCGTAGATCTATTAGGCGATTCACGCAACCCCGGGCGATATCAGGCGTCCCTGTGCACTCTGATATGGGGAAGATTCTAACGCTATACTGAAAATAATGAATTTATATAAAATCGCGTTGCAAGTTCCGCTCTAGCGCCGATAGAACGTGTCACCAACGAGCAATGCAACAAAGCTACGTGCATTCCCATGGTACAAACAATTACAAACAACCATCTCACGCGTCGACCAACTGGAAGTGAGAGAAAGCGAGTTCAGGTCAAGGCGGGAAATGCGCTACGAGAATGGAAATAAATTATACAATAACCGTGAAAAAGATAAAATCACGAACGCGTTAAATACGCTGTAGTTGAAAAATATATAATTCTCTAATAACGAGGGAAATTTATTAAATACTTGATTAATGAGCGATAGTCATGTTTGTTGACCACATACCGTGAAGAATAGTGTGAGAACGTGCCATCTGCTGTTATTTAGCACTTTTATCCAACAAAACCAAAGTGAGAGTGACTGTGCATATGACTTAACATATTTATGGGAGAAGAAAAGAGGGAAGAGAAATGAAAAGACCCAAAACATGTACTCACGTGGTTTTGAAGACATGGTCGGTCGTGGAAGCGAGGGTCGAGCGGATTTCGGAGACTGTGTCCGTATTGCGAGCCAAAAGGACGCAACGACCACCCCGCCACCAGTGTAAGAAGCTCATGGAGCCTTAGTACATTGGATATGACTGGCTGGGCAGCGATGAGAACACACGAAACGAGTCTTGGGTGAGCGCTGAGTGCGGGGGTTGCGTGTCCACCCACCAGCCCTGAGGGCTAGACCTAATCACACCGACCACTGGACACGAACTCAGAGGTCAGACGAGGTCAAATAAAACCGTCATCTAAGTCCTCGTTACCGAACTTCGAGCCACGTGGTCTATATCTAATGACTTACACAAAACGTGCTTATGGACATGGTATAGTGTGTGTGTGTGTGTGTGTGTGTGTGTGTGTGTGTGTGTGTGTGTGCGTGCGTGCGTGCGTGTGTGTGTGTGTGTGTGTGTGTGTGTGTGTGTGTGTGTGTAAAAGTGGTCGTGGAAGAAACTACCAAAGCAACATTCGCCATCATGGGGAAAGTCAAAGAGAGCGCAAATGATATGAGAAATAAATTGAAAATGACACGGAGAAGACAAAGGTAGAGATAAACACTCAGTTATCACGCAAAGTAAAGAAAAAAAATCATAACACAACTTCGACAACATGCTGAGAGAGAACACTTGAAAAAAAGTTTCAGACGAAGAACAATGAAAGGGAGACCCAAGATTAAAAAGTTATTGGTGAAATACTCAGAACAAAAAAAAAAATGTAATCTTGGAAAAGACATCGTTCCATACCGACGAATGAACAAGTTAAAATGAAAGTCAAAACTTGAAAGTAACATTCTTGGTAAAACAAATGGAACGATGCAATTACGGAAGCTTAGAACCTAGCCAACCACGCAGAACACAAGAAAAAAAAAACGGATAAGGCAGAATCTAAGTAAAGTAGAGGAGGGAAACCTTACAAAAGAAATTGAAAGAAGTCAGACAGAAGAATGATCAAAGGCCCAGGGGAGGAAAAAATCTAGCTCGTGTTGAGGGTGACAGGTCGCCGAACCAAACAGAAAACGGGAATGGGAAGTCGAACTAACATTAGTAACGCAGGCAACTGGATCAGAGAAAAAAAAAACTTGATCCTTAGAAAGAACAATATACTAAGACTCCATTTAAAGATCAGGTTGCATAATTGGTACTGGAGGGGAGTAGTGATACTATCAAGAAAATCTTTCAAATTGAAGTAAGTGTAGATTAAACAAGGCTGAAATAGAAACACGTGGGAATAATCATAGTCACTGCTTCTATGCTACTTCATACCTCAGCATCGTAACAAGAAGACTGCAAAGATCTAGCCAAGAGAGGCATACGAGCAGGGCCGGATTATCCTATAGGCTAGTATAGGCTGCAGCCCCTGGCCCGTCAAGCTTGGGGGCCCCAAGCTTGAGGGGCTTGGTTATAAAAAATCTTTTTTTTTACACTACGGTTGTGTTGAAATACAGTAAAATAGTGGTATTTAAAGAATATTCTTATTGACAAACAGAAGATAGCTATGCTAGTTTATTTTTAAAAAATGCAATAAGTTTACTTCAAGCCAAGGGGCCCCAAAAGGTCCTAATCCGGCCCTGCATATGAGTATAAATGCTTAATAGAAACCAAATCAAAAGGAATTCGTTCAATCCGGGAATTTAATACTACTATCAACTGGGAAGTCTTATTGCCGCAATATGATTTGCGGAATGATAAATAACTGAGAGAAAGTGATTACGTGGTAGTAGTAATGAAATTAAGGTAATTGATACGGAACGTTCTGTACACGAATAGTACAATCATAAAAGAGGTGATTATGGAAAGTTCTTTCTGGATAAACAATGAGATATCTACACGTAGATGTTCAAATGCGATACTCAAGTTTCTGTGAGAAAAAATGTATCGGATGTATGAAAAAAAGTTCTTACTGTGAAATAAATAAATAACATAGCAGAAACGTGATCTCGAGCGGCATATGGGAGATTAAAAGTAAAAAGGACTGAGACTTAGGTGTTGTAAGAGGATAGAAGGATATAATTAATATATGCGCTAACAAACCTAAGTCCTTCTTTACCTGAGAAACAGTGAATCTAAAACAAAAATCGAATCGTATCATTGAATATAAAATTGTCTCTCTCTCTCTCTCTCTCTCTCTCTCTCTCTCTCTCTCTCTCTCTCTCTCTCTCTCTCTCTCTCTCTCTCTCTCTCTCTCTCTCTCTCTCTCTCTCTCTCTCTCTCTCTTTTTCCCCGTATTTGTGTGGGTGTGTGTTGGGGGGAGGGGAGGTAGGTGGGTGTTCTTGCATGTGAGCGTTTATGTGCATGTTTGCTTGTACTTTATATATATATATATATATATATATATATATATATATATATATATATATATATATATATATATATATATATGTATATATAAATATATACATATATATATATATATATATATATATATATATATATATATATATATATATATATATATATATATATATTGTATTTAAACATTAGATATCACTCCATTTTCTTTAATTAGCTGGTATGGGTTGTGGAATCGACATATTTTCGTGTGAGCATTATATCAACATTCTCTTAAATACACTAGTATTAATAATAGATCAATCCTTCATATAACCAATCAGATGGAGAATCCAAGCAATTCTATCAAACGATAATACACCAATAGACAAAAAACAAATTCAAGTTTCTCTCTTGCGCAACCGGTATTTATCGTAGTCCTTGACATTGAAACAGCTGACGAAGGACGAGAAAGACACAGGCCTTAGAAAGCAGCAAAGAAAGACTTTTTTCTACAAAATTCTGCGTAATGGCAGGAGGATCGAGGGCTGGACAGTATGTAGTTTGAATTATAGTTTGTGTTCATTGTTTTTGTTCGTGAAATAAGCAACGTTGATTGTTAATTACGTAATATGTAGCCCCATAGAAACGGAAAAAGTTATTGCATTTTATGGGTCCCGTAGGATTGTATGTGATTGTATGTATGTTTTTTCATATTATTAGATATATTGTCTTGATTGTTGAAAGGATTACGTCTCTAATGGATATACATTCTGTTATATGTTGGAGTATGATCAAAATTGTATGACATTGCCCTGAAGGTCAAAACTGTGCTTCAAATAATGACACGATATCAGTCCGTTTACTTAATAGAAACCAAACCATTTAGATTAATGGGCTTACTTATGCACTCATTCCGAGAAAATCCTTACATTAGGTTTTTTGGGCATATTCAATTATGATAGCACAGTCTTAAGACATTTATGAAGTATAATCATGGTATTTATTCCAAAAGCTCTATGTTGCCTATAACGTTTATTGTTAAGTGTATTTGAATATTTAATAACTGTCAATGTTAGATATATATATTGTAATATTAATCCACAACTAATTTTCCTTTTTAAAATACCAGCAAGCCTGTTATACATTATATTTAGTGCTGATTCTTCATGCAAATATGTACCACTTCTCTTTGAATAATTGTTGTATATACCTAGTTATGAAGATAACAAATATGATATTTAATCATGCTGTTAACTACCAAGGTTCAAATCATTCCTACCCCCATCTATTAACCTCAAAGATCTGGCTGACATGACCATCACATCATGAATAAATTTGGTTTGAGTGGTGGGTGATGTGAACATCATGGGAAAATTTGGCTATGGGCCAGAATGACACAAACTTGCTATCAAGATGGGACAGAGTCGCAATGAATGCATTATGTCTTTCGATAATCTAGTGTGAAAAGTACTGTCCATGAGGCATGACTGGAAGAGCGCCGGCTTCAGGGAGGACATTATTTCCAAACTCAGTATGCTCTTCCTGCCTACCATAACAGGTGGTGCAGGTTGTATTCCAGAAAATTGCATATTATGATGAAATAAAAGAATGACTCAAGTAACAAAATGTTATTATTGTTATTATTATTGCACTGCATTATAGACTACCTAGAGAGATGATATGAAGTCTGTACAAGAAAAACATTATTATTATATTAATCAAATGACAAATGTAGACAGTGGAAAATTGGCATAATAGCTAAAAACACATGGAGTCTTGTCCCCCATTGAGTACTTGTTTGATCAGATAGGCCTAATACCTGTATTTTGGGCTACATGATTTCAATGAAGCATCTGGATCCCATGGGTTAAGACCTCCTGTCAGTTCATTTGTATGTCAAGGAATTACCCATGCTCCACCTACATAGCATGGTAGGAGCAAACATGAGAACTCACAAACATAGGTCTTTAATTTTTGTTGATATACATCTACTTATAAATCTGTCATATAATTAACTACCAAAACTGTCTACTGCTACTGTCAGCAACACTATACATATATATTAGATTTCATATATAAAGAATTGTTACTTTCAGCCTGGTAAATTTAGAGTTGGCTGAGATAGGCAGGAATGGGTTCTGTTAGGTTTATGTTTGACTAGGTTTGATTTGGCTAGGCTTTGACCATTTATTTAAAAAATTGCTTTTATATGCTTAACCACCATTTGGATTTGTTAACAGAGATCATGCCTGTATATACCTAGTCAAACAGATTGCCTTTTCCTAAATATGGAACCAGAATCCAAAATTAGTTTCATAGTAGCTGTTGTAAAAAAAGGTATGAATGAGAATGAATATCTTCACATTACAAGAGATGTATTTGACTGGTTTTGAAAATATCTTTGTGAGACAGAGTCTACATGTATATCTGATGGAGATATATTCAAAACTAGTAAAATACATCTCTTATATTGTAAAGATATTCTCATTCAAACCTTTCTTACAAGCACCCTTAACATTTATACATTATTGAAAGCTTAAGTTAAAAAAAAAATACGAGTTTATTTGAGCACACATTAGTCCAGTTTTTATTCCCTTTCTTGATAGACTTTATAAGCCCTTGTCATTTATCTTCACCAATATGTAAATAATTAACTAAGATATCTTTACCTCTCATCTTTGCAGCAGTCCAGAACACTCCAGAGACAGGCATCACTCTGCCAGTGCCTGTGATTCGGAGACTTGTGTAAACCTGCGCGTCATCAACTATGATGACACTGTGCGCAGACTTGACCATTACTATGGCATTGGTAAGAGGGAATGATGCGTAGATATTTTGTGCATAATTATCGTCATCATCATTATTATTATTATTATTATTATTATTATTATTATTATTATTTTTATTATTTCTATTGTTGATATTTTGTCATTGTAATTGTTGTTATTATTATTATGATTATTATTATTATTATTATTATTATTATTATTATTATTACTATTACTATTTGTGATGTTATTGATGATATTATCGCTGTTATTACTGTTATAGCTATATTGTAATTATTATTCTTTAATTTTAACTGATTATATCATTATCAATGTCTATTATTATTTTATTGCCTGATTAATGAATGAATTTAAAGATACAATTCTAACTATTTCAGTTAAGCGACAACTGCTACAGAACCAGAGTGTTACCCTGGGATTGTTCCCAGCCTGTAGCATGGAGAAGCGGGAAGCAGATATCAGAACTAGTATCTACTGTGCTGCTTCTATATGGAGTCTTTATCAGTCATACAGGTGGGTTTTTTGGTTTATTTGTCCTTGTATCAGATCTTTACTTTCTTTGCTCATTTCTTTCCTCTATCATACCAAACCTCTTCTCCCTATAAAAAAAAAAAACTATATATATACATATATATATACATATCCATATATTATATACATATCCATATATATGTATATATGCATATATATATATATATACATATCCATATATTATATACATATCCATATATATGTATATATGCATTTATATATACATATCCATATATATGTATATATACATATGTATATACATATCCATATACATATCCATATATATATATACATATATATATACATATATATATACATATCCATGTATATATACATATATATGTATATATATATACATATATATATATATATATATATATATATATATATATATATATATATATATATATATATATTTATATATATATATATATATATATATATATATATATATATATATATATATATATATATATATATATATATATATATATATATATAAATATATATACATATATATGCATATATATGCATACGTATGCATACATACACATACATACATGAAGATAATGATTAGGCTGTGTAATTGTATACAGGGTGAGTTTGTGGAACTGGGATTATATTCTTGAAGTTGTACAAGAAATCACATTACTCTTTATACATGAAGTTGTAATCCTTTTCATTCCTATTATTCCAACCTCCTCCTCAGACGTATTGATGATGACCGAGGTAAAGCATACGAACTAGGCCAGTCTTGTGTCAAGTGTATGAGGGGCATTCTCATGTGCTGGATGCGGCAGAGTGAAAAAGTAGAGATGTTTAAGCAGGGACAGCAGCCAAAATATGCCCTGCATGCTAAATTTAATCTTCTGACAGGAGAGGAAGTTATTTCAACGGATGATTACGGGCATCTGCAGGTCAGTGAATTATTTCAGTGTTGAGGTATGTTTGTAACTACTATTTCTGGAATATAATTATCTTTGGAACTTGTTTTTTCCTTTCTTTCTTTCTTTCTTTTTTTCCATTCTTTCTTTTTCTTTTTTTCTCTTTTTCTTTTTCTTTCTTTCTTTCTTTCTTTCTGTATTTCTGTATTTCTGTATTTCTATTTCCTTATGTTTATCTAATTTTTGTGATTGTATTTCAGATTGATATTGTTTCCCTGTACCTGATTTTCCTGGTCCAGATGATTAATTCAGGTCTACAGATTATATACACCATGGATGAAGTTACTTTTGTCCAAAATTTGGTGTACTATGTTGAGAGAGCTTACCGTACACCCGATTTTGGTATGTGGGAAAGAGGAAGCAAGTACAACAATGGAACACCTGAACTTCATGCCAGGTACATAAGCCATTTAATCTTCTTTTTCTTCTTTTTCTTTTTCTTTGTTTCCTTCTTTTCCTTCTTGTTCTTCTTCTTTTTCTTTTTCTTTTTCTTCTTTTCCCTCTTCTTCTTCTTCTTCTTCTTCTACTTTCTTTTCTTTTCTTTTCTTTTCTTATGAATTCTGTATAATGGTTTGTTAATGATGTTTATTCAGTCTGTTTAAGGTATTCAAGGTGGATTTCTTTTAATCTCCCACATAAAGAGTTTATGAAAAACTTGAAATGTGTTTATAGTTTTGCTTCTTAATCTGGTACACACCAAGATATATAAGCTTTGTGATATGGTTTATCATTCATTAGGTGAGGTTTCTTTGAGGTTTCTGTGAAATCCAGTGAAAGAATACTTTGAAATAATTTTACAATGATCCTGTGCTACTGCAAGACACATATTTACTTTTACTCTTTCCCCAAGTTCAATTGGTATGGCGAAAGCTGCATTGGAGGCCATCAATGGATGCAATCTCTTTGGGGAGAAAGGAGCATCTTGGTCAGTCATCTTTGTTGACATTGATGCACATAACCGCAACCGTAGCATCTTTGAAACACTGTTACCAAAAGAATCCAGTTCTAAGGTATGAGAAGTGCTGCAAGAGCTATGTTGATGATAAAACAAAGTGAATTGATACTGAAAGGCAAATATATATTGTAATTATTATTTTGTTTAAAAATAGTACTACAGTTGTAGGTGTGACCTGCAATTGCTGTTTGTTATTTTCCATAGTTTATCAAAACAAAATAAAATGTATAACATTTTTTTATAGTATTTATTTTATATATATATACAAGTGCACATTTTCTACATTTCAGAGTGTTGATTCTAGTCTTCTTTGCACTATATCATTTCCTGCTTTTGCTACCCACGATCAGATGTTATACACTACGACCAGAAGTCAGGTAATAAAAGATTATCATTCTCTCACTGGCCTTGAGTGAAAGTAGCCCTGTAATTTGAGTTCATATTTTGATTGACTCTTAAAGTAATGGTTAATATGACCCCCATGTTATTAGAATGATTCTAAGTATTCTCCTCTCTCTCTCTCCAGATACTTAATACTCTCCAAGGCTCTTATGGCTTCAAAAGATTTCAGCGTGATGGGTATGGCACGGTTGTAGAAGACAAGGAAAGGAGGTACTACCATGCCTCAGAAACAAAGGTAAAGTATTGCAAATAGTATTTTGATTGGTGTAAATTATTGCAGCAGTTGTTGGTTGTTTTGTTGAATCCATTTTGTCTCCAGTGGATATCTTACTATACTTTCAGTATGACTTATGTGTTTTTTCTCTCTCTTTCTCTTCATTTCTTTAGGAATTTGAAAATATTGAATGTGAGTGGCCCCTCTTCTACTTGTTCATGATCCTTGAAGGCATGTTTAAAGACTCCCAAGAGCAAGTGGAGCAGTATAAGGCAAAACTGAGTCCACTGCTCAAGAAAGATAGATGGGGAGGTAAGACTTACTCTCTTCTTTCTCACTCAATTTTTCTCTTTTAGGATGTAGGTATTGCAGAGTAAGGTCATAATTTTCCATTTTTCAATTTTATGTTATTTCTATTATTTTTTTGTGTTTATTCCTTGGACACAGTTTTATGCACAGTCATTTTATGAATCTACTCCTATTTTCTGTTCAAAAAATGATCTGCAGCCTTTACCGTCTGTGCTTTTAGAGTCACCCATTTAGGACTGGGGGAGCAAGTCTTTCTTGTTCTTTAGTTGTTGTTTTTTTACAGAATTCAATTTTTTTCTACAATATGGGAATCCCTCAGCTTTGTAGAAATAAAGCTAAGTAGCCTTGTACTACAGCAAAGTGGAAGGGATAATTATAATTTTGAGATGTTTAAGAAATTGAACAGCTTTTTTTTATTACATGTAGTCTACTTCCCTCTCCACCAGATTCCCCCAATCTAGCATAGTTATAAGACTGCTTATTTTAGTTTAATTAGACTGTGGATTAGACTTTTAGTTTATTAAATCTTTTCCAGATGCTGTAGTGCCAAAGTACTACTTCATACACAAGAACCATGTAAATGCAGAAAGACGTGATCCAGGATCTCAGGTGAGTATTTTATTTCACTGATATATTTCACTGTATTTTTATACATTACATACAGTATTGTAGTTTTTATTGTCTTTCTTCCTAATGATTTTATATATTTTTTTGATATAGCATTACCCTAGAAGCTCATAATTCTGAAGCTATGATATCAAAATGTTTGTTCTTACCATATTACAGAACTATTATTTCTCACTCTTAACTTACTTTAACTTTATTTTTATGAACAGCCTCGGCAACCCAGCTCAGAGGGCACTCCTAAGAATCTCTTCCTCTGGGGTCAGAGTGTTTGGATAATAGCCTCCTTATTGATGGATAAACTCCTTCACATCAACGAACTGGACTTAATCCGACGTTATTTACCCTCCTATAACCGTCCTCGGAAAGGCGGGCGCTATTCAGCATTCCAGGTAAAGTTTGTAGTTATTGATTTTTTTTCTTTCTTTCTTTTCTTTTTTTCTTTTTTTTCTTTTCTTTTTTTCTTTCTTGCTTTCTTTTTTTTCTTTCTTTCTTGCTTTCCTCTTCTACTTCTTCTTCTTTCTTTCTTTCTTTCTTTCTTTCTTCTTCTTCTTCTTCTACTTCTTCTTCTTTCTTTCTTTCTTTCTTCTTCATCTTCTTCTACTTCTTCTTCTTCTTCTTCTACTTCTTCTTCTTTCTTTCTTTTTTTCTTTCTTCTTCATCTTCTTCTTCTTCTTCTACTTCTTCTTCTTCTTCTTCTTCTTCTTTCTTTTCTTCTTCTTCTTCTTCTTCTTCTTCTTCTTCTTCTTCTTCTTCTTCTATACTTCAAAAGGTAGAAGATAAATAACAGCTAGAAGGACACTGTGGCTAGTAAGAGCAACTATCACTACTTAACCGGCCATATGAAGTGTCAGATCAAGTCAGGATTAGAAAAGTATATCCCTAAGATTTTCTAATAGTACATAGGACTTGTGTAAGGTTAGGCTGCTTTTCTCCCCTATAGATATTCCTTAAAAGCTAAGTCTCTTGCTCTATAAATATTTACATAAGTTTCTTGACCATCATCTGCATGCTAAAAGAAAATGTTCGAGAGTAGGCTTCTCCTTGGCATAAATCCAGCTTTCCAGTTTTAAAGTTGTGTACAGTGTGTTTATAGTTACGGTGGCTTTTCTTTTCTTTATTATTATTGTTTTTACCCTCCTGCTTTAGTTCTGCGGGTGGTATGGAGTGGCAT